AAATGTTTATTACAAAAGTGACAGAAATTTCAAAGAATACAACAACAGCAACATTGGTACCGTAAACACTGCTGGCAGTCAGACAAGGACATCTCACAGGATCCTCTGAGTTGGAAGTCATGGACAAGGTTTGAGTCCAGCTCTCAAGGGAATGGCCTTCGTGGGATCAAACCCCAACCTTGGCATTATTGGTACCTTACACCAAGGAAGGTCCCATTCCTATGGAAGCACCTGTTAGTAATGTGTGTGCAAAGAGGTAGAGCAATAAATGTATGAGATTAGTGCATAAATACAGCGTTAAAAATCAAGAGAGGCAGAGCAACAAAAGGTCCCTGTAGAAACGTGTAGTGCAAAGAGAATTAGGATGATTTCTGAGATGATTCCACAAGGAGCAAGAAACCCCCAGCCCCAGACCCGGCAGCCACAGAGCAACTTCCACATCATCTGCTCTTCCTGCAGGTTCATCTGGAGACTGGGCACRGACGGGACACTGAGGGTCAGCGCAAGGCAGACGGTGCAGCTGAGGAAGGACATCCCTCAGCTGGGGGGAAAGAGGTGAAGCTGTGGTTGCCCAGCATCGAGGAGAAGCTCTGACCACTCCCTGTCACAGGTGTATTTGGGGTCTGCTGCAGATAAAGGGCATCTCATTTGAGCAGATCTCACTCCTGAGGTTATCCTCTCCTGCATTGCCCAGGACAGGAACCCTGCAAGAAGAGGAGACAGAACTGGCACCACAGCAGGGACATCTTGTGCCCACGGGACCCCCAGGCCCTTCCTAGCACCCCAGGACTCACGAGGAGTTGAAGCTGCTGCCGTCCCCCCACTGCAGCTCCCGGCCCCGTCTGCGCAGCCCGAACCAGTGATCCTCGTTCCTGGTGAGACGGGAGAGGAACTCCTGGGAAGGAGAGAGGAGCCGGCACTGGGAGCTGCACCCCCGGCCCAGGAGACCCCCAGGCTCCCCTCAGCCACCCCAAACCCCTCACTCACCATTTCCCAGTCCTTGAGCACGGCCAGGGAGGCCCCGAGCTCAGAGCACCGAGCCTGAGCCTGATTCCAGCTGCGGTGATCCCTCGAGAGGAAGTAGCAGATCCCGCGGTGCCCGACCCAGCCATGGGGACAGGCCAGCAGCACAGGAATGYCAAGGTTAACTGGAATTTCTGCTTGTGTTCTCCCTGCAGGGGGAAGAGGAATAAGTCGGGGGATTTCCATCTCCAGGGAGCAGCGACCTCTCTCTGCCCCTCCCTTACCTGACACAGAAGCCAAGGCYACASCCAAAGCCAGGACCAGGGCCAGGAGCAGAATCAGCACCCCCAGGGTGAGCATGGGATGGGATCTGATCCACTYGGCTGCAGCTGGAAAAGCAGGAAAGAGACACTGGCTGTGAGGATGTGGCTGTCCTGAGCAGGAAGGAACTCCCCGCCC